AAAAGAGAGGAGTTGGGGGGGGGGGGAGGAGGAGGAGGGGTTCTTTCTATCTTTTCTTTCTTTCTTCTTACCTTTCTTTCTCTCTTTTCTGATATTCTTTCGGGCGCGATAACGTTAATTGTTAGCGACTATGATAGATAACTTTATTCTTTCTTGAAAGTAAGAGAGAAAAAGAGAGGAAGAGAGAGAGAGAGAGAGAGAGAGAGAAACTTTTCGATAACTTTCAACTTTAAATATTAACGCTCTTATTAAAGTGTGTGGAGAAAGAAACGGGGAAAGATGAAAGATCGCTTTTTATATTACATTTAATAATATAATATATACGGGCTTTTCAGTTTTAATTTAATTTTATAATTAACTTATCTCTCGAATCACATTTATACATTTTTGTCTGAATAATTCAATATTATCATGTTGGCTTATACACAAAGTAATATTATATCCTAAATATATTATATGTGAGATAAAAACATTAATTTTCATCCAAATAGAAAAAAAAAGAATGTCTTAAAATGTAATTGTTTAAAAATTCGGACGCATTATTTATTAAAAAAGAAAAAAAAAAAAGAAAAAAATTAATTAAATCAAAAAACACGAGGACGACGAAGACACTGACGACGAATACGACGAAGACATTCGATATCGCGTAGATAATCTTATTATTTTCTATCTGTTTTTTATCATTGTATTAATTATCTTTTTTTCTTTTATATCTATTTCATTTTTTATTCTCAATCATTTATTATTATATCTTTTTTTATCTTCTTTCAATTGTTGTTCTTTTGTTAATAATTTTTGTTTCTCAAGGTAGCTTGTACGACAAGGGAATAAAAGCACCCTTGTGCCAGAACAAACCTCCGCTCTTTGCTGCTAGCCCCTGGGGGATATCCTTGTTGTGTATTGTTGAATTTGTCCGTTCGTTCTTATCTTGTACATAATATATGTATTACCTGTGGGCATACACTCTTTACAGACGAATTTACAATCACATAGATACACCTATCCACACACACATACACACACATACACACAAACAAGCACAAGGGATTGTACCTAAATACTTATATGTTATATACGTTTGCATTATAACTACTTATTTGGTATGAGATTCGTTGTTAAATTGACAGCAAGCTCGAAATAATTAGATTCTCGATATTATTACATAAATTTTTGTAATATTTTTTTAAAAATATGGAAAACTAGAAATATCGAGAGTCTTAAATTGCGAGCATATTTGGCAATGTTAGCTTACCAAATTTTGTCTTCTCATACATCTCTCTCTCTTTCTCTCTCTCTTTGTCTCTCTCTCTCTCTCTCTGTTTCTTTCTTTCTGTCTTTCTTTCTCTCTTTTTATGTTTTGTTTTTATTCACATTTAATACGATTTAACTGTTATCATCAATCATATCAAATCTTCCATTTGTGTTCGCTCATATATCACATATATATTTTCCTAATCTTAATAATTCGATTGCTCGCAATAATTAAAAAAAAAAGAAAAAGATCAAGCGAAAGAATTATCTTCCTGTAATTTAACCATTAAACCTAAACGTGATTAAAAAACGATATCTTATAATATAAATATCAATTTTCTTTACTGGAAGACATCTCAATGCTGATTTTTCTTTTTTTTTTAACCCTTAACGCTCCAAGTGTGCCTCTCAGGCACCATTGATTTTTGGCGTTCTGCTTCAAATATATCATTGGGTTGTTATTGGTAATTAATTACGAGACAAAAATTTTTTATACTCCTTAGTCATTAACATGCGTTACTGTAATATTTAAAATCAAAATTAACACGTCATTGTAGTATTTCAAATTTGACATTTCAAATTTCGCAAGTCGAAGTATGATAATTAAATGAAATTCGGATCGTTAAGGGTTAATATTATTAGATCACACAGTATAAGAAAATAAAAGAAAAGAAAAGAAAAGCTTGTAAATATCTAATTAAAAAAAAAAAAAAAAGAAAAAAAAATTGCGTTTAACAAGAGTGGAACAAGGGGAAAAAAATAAAACATAAGGTCATAATATTAATTTATACTCTTTCAGCAATTCTGGCAACCAGGTTTGCAGCCAGGAACGTCCCAGGATGTCAAACCGTTCCCGCAACCTGCGTACACCGGTAAACCGGCGACGGCGGTCTCGAGCGGTGACATGGTCCAGGCACAACCTCCACCACCATGGGAAGGCCGAGCCATTGCCACTCACAAGCTAAGGCTGGTTGAGTTTTCGGCATATATGGAGCAACAAAGAGACCAGGATATTGTAAGTTGATAATACTATTGTCAATAAAAATAACATTTATTATTACGTGTACAATTTAATTTGAATTACTTTTCATATAATAAATGAACAAAAGAGGAATACGTGTGAATGATATTTGCAAAGATTATGGGTTTTGTTAAAATGATAATAATAATAAGAAGAAGAATAAACAGGCAAGTAGATAGGGATTAGTATTAGTAAAGGAGTGATGATTAATTAGATTGTTCGTTTGATCGTGATCAAAATTACAAACGTGTGTGTGTTGGGGGGGGGGGGGGGGGGTTGGAGGGTTCATTTTTGAGACAATGTCCTCCGGATCAGGATGCAGTTTTCAATCAACGGGATTATCGAAGAGAGTTTAGTTTGGAGAAGTTAATTTTATTGATTAACATAAAATTACAAACGTACCTACGTATAGGGTTGTAGGGGTGGGGTGTTTCATTTTTGGGTGACAATCTTCCGGATCGGAGATGCAGTTTTTCATCAACGGGAATTTTTAGAAGGAGAATTTTTAGATTAACATAGAGAGATTGATTTTAGAAATTCATTACTTGTGGATGACATGTGTGGAAGAAGTTCAAAGGCAAAGCAGTGTGTAGCCGATACAATAGACAGCCGGACACATTTGGAAAAATTCATAATAATCGATATGGAAGAGTTCCAGTGGTTCGGATATAATCGAAAGAACTTTTTGCATTGACGTTAGTGTAAATCGGGTTAATTAACGTTAGACGATTTTTAACAATTTTTTACAGTACCACAAGCATCTGTTCGTCCACATAGGAGGATCAGCGACTTATGCCGATCCATTACTCGAAGCCGTCGACGTTAGGCAAATATACGATAAATTCCCGGAGAAGAAGGGCGGTTTGAAGGAACTATACGACAAGGGACCCCAAGCTGCCTTTTTCCTCGTTAAATTCTGGGCCGATCTCAATACCAATATTCAGGACGAAACTGGAGCGTTTTATGGCGTGACGAGCCAGTAAGTATATCTCATTTACTTTATTATTAAAAATTACCACAAATAATCTTCAATTTTTATTACAAAATTTAAAATTATTACTATAATTTAACAAACAAAGTTATATAGATATATTATCTTAAATAAATCATTGAAACAATACAATTCTATATTTATATTACAATTTTTCAAATAGGGGTTGTTTTCTAATATCTCAAATTTGTTTACCCGATCTATTTGAATTCTTTACTTTTTAATTTATTATTGTAAGTTAATACTAATTTCGTCTTTCCTTTTTTTTTCCTTTTTTTTTTTTTTAGATACGAAAGCAACGAGAACATGACGATAACGTGTTCGACGAAAGTTTGCTCCTTCGGAAAACAGGTGGTGGAAAAGGTGGAAACGGAGTACGCCAGGTTCGAAAATGGCAGGTTCGTCTATCGTATCAGCCGTTCACCGATGTGCGAATATATGATTAACTTCATCCACAAGTTGAAGCACCTGCCAGAGAAGTACATGATGAACAGCGTTCTCGAAAACTTCACCATCCTTCAGGTAAAAAGCATTTGTACAATTTTGCAAGTATACTTTATGGAAAAGAAATAAATTTCTTTTTTATCTAAATTGTTTTTCAAACTTATTAATTTATAAAATATGACGTTATTATTTATGATTGTTATTTTAGGTTGTAACGAACAGGGATACACAGGAAACGTTATTGTGTACGGCGTACGTGTTCGAAGTATCGACGTCAGAACACGGTGCCCAACATCACATATACAGATTGGTCAAGGACTAACCTGATCGAACCTGCTCGTCATGCAGCCATCTACCCCCATCAGTGCCTACCATCACATAAAAAAAGAATCATCCGTATGCGTATATATACACACTAATTATATACACTAAATACATACATAAATGCACCACCACCACCACACGCGCGAGAAGAAACACGAATATGTGAATACTATGAAATATAGATATATACTGTTCGTAAATCATACACTATACATTTATACTGTTTACATATACACCCGGGAGACAAACATCATACACACATAAAATATATACATATACATGTATACATGAAATGAAAAAAAAAAAGAAAAACAACGGATACATATTACTTACACACAAAATATTTTCACTTCCGCACTCGAGAGACGAAGAAATTCTATCGACAATGTTCTTTCTTTATCTATAATATAACGGTGATAATAATTAAAAATTTGTTTTCACCGTGACAGTATTATTGACGGTTAAACTTAATTAATGCGAAATGATTCGAAGAAAAATAATAATGCGTTCGTGTTATTATTAATATTAATATTAATATTAATATTATAATAAATTATTATTTTATCGAATATCGAATTTAATCGAAAAGAAAAACGTAGTAATTGTCGAAATAAAAAAAAAAAATAAAAGAAAAAGGATTCATGTTTGTTTTTTTTTACGTAAATGTTACATTAATTTTTTTTTTCGAAATTATTATTATCATCGATTTTTGTATTGGATTTACTTGGTAGTAGTAATTGTCCTACAATTGGACATCGAATTCGATCATTATTATCTTTGCATTAACAATGTGTGCAGTATTTGGAATATTGTCAGTAGAAACTTCTTAAATAAATAATAAAAAAAAAATAAATAAATAAAAAAGAACAAAAAAATATATATATTATAAATATATATATATATACACATATATATATTTGTAAAACAAGAATTTCGAGATACAGAGACACCGAAGTACTGGCCAGCCCGAGCTTGAGTTTGATTCAAGGTTCAAACTTTCTATTAATTATATTGGGACCGCGATTCTCCGTATATAAGGAAAAGAGAAACTTCTTCTTTTTGACTTGTCTAACAACAACGGTAAGAAAACTTTTTAAATGGAAATACCGGAAGTGTAAATGTTTAAAAAAAAAAAAAAAAAAAAAAAAAAAAAAACAATAACAACAAACACAAAAAAAAGGAAGAAAAA